AAACAAATAAGAGAGTCTAAGTTCGGGAGGAGCCGAACATTAAATACCTGGCGCAAGTATTAAATATATGTTTTTCACCTTTACGAAAACTACCGCTACATGGTGGTTTTACCCCTATTTTAAACATCTTTGATAGAACGTTCAGCTAGATATAATGAGATTAACCTATATAGTAACATGTGGGCGGTATCACGCCCATTTTCCAAAATTCCAAATAATATTACTGCTTTTCAAGGGATTGTTGTTAGTGTCAGTTTTGAGTAAATTAGCATCCTTAACCGCTAACTTACCGTTATATGAAAAGTGGCCGTAATTTTAGTCCGATGTCAATAATTGTCCATGCTTTGCTTTTTTTGTGGCAAGAACAATAACCACAACGAGTTTGGTACAAAGTAGTAGAACGGTTACCGAGATACATATGTGTGATCATAAGTGGGCGGTGCCAAGCCCATTTTCCAAAATTTTATCATACGCGTATGTCTTGGTAGAGAATTATTGCAAGCATAAATTTTGAATGAATTAGCTTTAGTATTTACTGATTTCTCGAAGATTTCGTACTTCCCTAAATTACCGTTATATGGGATGTGGGCGTGGTTATTGCCCGATTTTGAAAATTTTAAGCCATTTGGTATGTTATACCAAGGCCATTAACTGTGCCAAGTTTGGGAGAAATTGGTGCAGCGGTTATCAAGACATACACATGTAACCATAAGTGGGCGTGACTACGCCCATTTTCCAAAAATTAATAATATTCTTAGTTTTTGTCTAAAAATCATCGTAAGAATCAATTTTGAGTGAACAGGTTTGAGAAGTTACGAAAATATCACAGTTTTCGTATTTCTGTAAACTGCCGTTGTTCACTTTGAATACCATCCGCCCTACGCCCGAAAGAAGTACACGTACCAAGTTTCGCTAAGATATCTCAATTTTCACTCGAGTTATCGTGTGCACAGACGGACGGACGGATGGACAGACAGTCACCGCTTAACCGATTTCTCTTTTCATTACAATCATTTATGTATACATTTGTCTATATCTATCTCGAATCGTTTTGCCTGTTAAAAACAACTGTTATGTGAACAAACAACTGTTATGTATATAAAAATTATAAAAGGTAATATGGATCAGCTCCATAATAGCGACACCTAAGGCGTCGAATTATAGATTATAACAATCCAGGGAACTCCACAAAAAATAATAATCATCTATTGGATTGGAATTGGATTATAGCCTATGTCCATCCAGGTGACAGCATAAATACGGAAATCGAATTTTATCAAAATCGGCCAAGTCGGTAAGGACGAAAAGAGTTACGAACACTCACGCACTGGACTTTTACATAAAAAATAAATTGTAGTGAGCCAATATTTATTATTTTCATAGTAATATTTCTATACATGATAAACAAAAAGAGAACAAAAAATTAAGTTTTTTGCTGCTTACGTGGAGGAGTTTTAAATCAAATTCTCATCTCATCTACACAACTATTTTTATGGGAGATAATTTCAGATTTTGGTATATATTTTTATGTGTCCATCTTCTAAAACTCACAAGCAACGGACCAAAGTTATAATACATGGTCTGACATAACATATTTAGTTTGTATTTATATATGCGATTCAAAACTCTCCCCAAACTAAGCAAATACGTTTTTCAGTATTTCTAATAAAGGGAGCCAAGAATACCACAACGTATTGGAATTTTCAAATGCTTATAAGCGAATTTTACATTTTAGATATATACATATGTAAATACACACATACCTACACTCATATATATAAAGACGAAGTTAGGATATGTGTATTTTTATTGGTATCCAAATACCATACGAAAATAGTAATTAAATTGCAAATTGCTAAATATATAGCTACAAATGAAAAATGAAAACTTGCTTGTTTGTTATCATTACTGAACTCGGGCGATATGAGAAAGTAGTGCAATGTAGATTTGCACCAAGTATGCAAGCTGATATGTGTACCAGGGTTGTTGCGAATAATCGCATTCGCATTCGCAACTGCGGAGCTTCCGCATTAATTTTAATACTCGCATTTCGCTTTCGCATTCGCAATAATCAATGCGGAGCTTTTGCGAATGCGAATGTTGTGCAAGTGCACCGATAAAACGTATATCTTGCAAACAAAATGACAAATTGTAGCCAATATTTTTTGCCTGTGGAGATGCGATGTTAAGTCATGTTGTCGGGGCGCCAAACATGGGAATATTTGTGTAACGAAACTGGTCAAATTTCATATTTATTAACTTTGAAAAAATTATCTTTAATCATATTACTTCCTACTTCTACTTGGCCTTTAACGTACGTCAAAAAAAATATAGTCCTTTTGACTATACTTGTTTTTTTGTTTTCTGTGCATTAAATACCTGCATTGGGGTCTTTCTTTATTATGATTTTTTTGGACCAATCTTAAAAAAACACAACTAGACATAAAAGAAGAAAGTGTGTACTATAATTTTAAACAACATTTTCGTGATTTGCTTTGGATGTTACATATATTCGTTTAAATCATTTCAAATGGGGAATTTATTTTTAGGCAAAATTTCAAAAACAGTTATTTTGTATACTTGCCGGGCAATATTTGTATACCTTTCATGAGCATGAAATGGTATTATAACTTTGGTCCGATGTTTGTAAGTACCAGAATAAGAAGAGATAGACCAACTAAAATGTATACTTAAATAATCAGACCGGCGAGCTGAGTCGATTTAGCCACGTCCGTCTGTCCGTCTGTTTGTATGCAATCTAGTCCCTCAGTTTTAGAGATATCCGGATGAAATTTGTAAGTTGGCTGTATTTTTTTTTAATGTATTAATCATTTGTCGGAACCGGAAGAATCGGACCACTATAGCATATAGCTCATAGCTAAGAACATGCAATGTTGCACTGTTGTCACTCATTATCAAAAGAATACTTTAAGTGAAAATGGCGAAGATCGGGTCGCTATAACCTATAGCCTCAATACAACTGATTGTTCAGATATGAGATTTTTTGCCATAACTTCTTCATTTATGCAGCTAGAAACATGAAATTTTGCACCGTTATCACCCATTATTAAAGTGAAAATAACAAGGATCGGATCACCATAACATATATCTCCCATACAACTGATTGTTCAGTTATGAGAATTTTCGTTATAACTCCTCCATCTATGCACCTTGGAACATGAAATTTCGCAATATTTCCGCCCATTATCTAAAAAATACTTACAGAGAAAATGGCGAAGATCGGGTCGATATAACCTATAGCCTCCATACAACTGATTGTTCAGATATGAGATTCTTTGCTATGACTTCGCTATATATGCAGCTAGAAACATGAAATTTCGCACTATTTTCACTCATTATCAACAGAAAGTTTACAGTAAAATTAACAAGGATGGGGTCACAATAACCTATTTATTGCCCCCATACGACTGATTGTTCAGATACTTATGGGGTTTTACTGTAAAACTCCTTTATTTGGACAGCTAAAACCGATAAATTTCGCAAGCTATTTTATAAATAACAATACAAAGTCTACTGAGAAAATCGTCAAAATCTATGCTGTATAAGCTTTATCTCTTATACCACTGATTGTTCAGACACCAGTTTTTGCGATATATATCCCCTTTATGTAGGAAGCTAAACCCATTAAATTGTGTTACGGATTTACATACCGATCACACAGCAGTGAAAATCACTTACATTGGTGCTATATAAGGTATATCTTCCCTCTACCTCTGATTGTTTAGATATGATTTGTTATATATGTATCTCCTCTATCTATGCGTGCTGTGAATATATAATTTTTTTTAAATGCAGTAATCTGTTAAAGTAAAATTTTCAGATGTTCATGAAAGGTATGAAGTCCTCGGCATAGCCGAAGACAGCGGTGCTCTTACTTGTTTTATGTTGATATACATTGGATCCTTGACTAAAAACTTATGTGGAAAAACTGTCCCCCTACGCTATTTAAAGTCCTTCAATTGGGATTTGCAGCAGAAATGTTCAATGTCTGCCTATGGAGAGAATCGATGCACAAATAATTAAAAATCTATAAGTCT